CTGTTTGTCTGAAAGGTTTTTTTTCATTATTTCTAATGCAGCTGGCAAACACTTAGACAACTTGATCTTGGATGCCTTAAGGCAAGCGCTGCACAGACGTTACTCACTTTGCATTACCCAGGGGGCGCGTGTAACTTGAAGATAAGCCACGGACTCGGAGTAACAATGCCCCCGCAACGAAGGTGAATAGAAGGGGTTGAATAGGTCACTCTTCACATGTTAGTGGACTGTTCATGGAATACAAATGTTTAACAAGAGTCGCATTGCAATACCACACGAATAAGTTCTGTTTCAAACCATTTTATTTTTTACTTGGTTTATATTAGGCGTATGATTTTCATTAGAAATGCATTCTGCGGCATTGCATTACTAATAAACTACATACTAATAGACATGTTATTTTGGAAAGTCTAAAATATTGTGAAAATTTATAGATTATTTAGTTAAACATGTATTTAAACGATGTTGTTATTTATAACTGAATATAAATCATAAATTATAATGTAACCTATCTTTTATATTATTTCCTATTTAAAAGATATTTTTTATAATCCATAGAGACTTTCTTTAATAGTTTTAAAGAGAAAAAAATTAAAACGCATTCTGCGTCATTGAATTCAGTCTATACTAATGAACATGCTAATTTGGGATGTCTAATAAAAAAAAAATATTGCGGAAATTTATCGATTTAGTTAAAAATATATTTATACGATGTTGTACTTATAATTGAAAATAAATCATAGTTTATAAAGCAGACTTTCTTATTATTCTATTAAAACTCATATTTTCTATTCTTTCTTAATTAAAGTATAAATAGATACTTTTTTATAATCCAGACTTTGGACAGAGAGACTTTCTTATAGCCTTAGAGATATTTAATGTGCATTGTAGTGACAGTATAATAAATTTCTGTATATATCATTATATAAGAATAAAATAATACTAGAAAAGAAATTTCATTTACAAACTAAAAATTTATAGGCAATTTTAAAAAAATTTTTTTTACTTACTTTGGTAATGGTGAAATAAATGTTTGGTAATAATGCTTGGAAAATTTCCTGGCATGTTGAAAAATAAAGAAATATTAGCTATGAATTTTCTTGTCATTTGTTGCCTCAAATATAGAGTTGCAACGAGACTTTTTTTATAAATATTTCTTTGAGGTCAATTTAATCGTAGTTTGAAGAACTACGTAACTTTTGAAACCAAACAAATGTTTCAATGCACATACATATACCATTTGTCTTCTTAACAACATGAGCTGTATATCCTGACCAACACAATGCTTTAAGACATTTTTGACACAATTCCGTACAACTCAATTTTATTTTCACTGACAATGACAGAATATGGTGTGTGTAGCATGCCAATAACTCCGAAATTCGTGACTAAACTCCAAAGTCGAGGTCTTTCGTCCGAAGCCCATTCATCATATTACAGCGGTACCATCTGTCTCGATATTGGATTTCAAGCAGCCTGGAATCACGACAAGCGGTTAATTAATAGTCTTTTTGAAGCGACAATATGCGTGATTAATTGCATTCAAATACTGAGAGCCAAGGCTTGTTCTTGTTGAATTCCCTTTCAGAATTGCATGGCTTGTGGTGAAATATAGATTCCGATCTGTAGAATTTTACTATTGCACAAAAGACACGCATAGGAATTTAACTGTAATGGTTAATAAATTAAGAGTTGAATGCATTCACATTTGATTTTAACTTTTTGTTGACGAATTACCTTCGTTGCAACGCATTCTTTTACCTTAAGATTATTTAAAACAATTGTCGAAAAAAAGCTAAACAAAGAAAAAAAAAGCTGAAAAAACTTAATTTAGGATGAAAAAAAAAAAAAAACCATGAAAATAAATTATAAAAAATAAATCGTTATAACTATAAAGATATATACAATTAAATCTTTGAATACAAATGAAAAATGTGTTTCTTTTATTTCTAATCCTTCTTGGTAGACAACAGCAACTAGATCAAGTTCCAGTCCAAGTCCGTGTGATCTGATGGAAAGTGAGAAAAGGGTGGGGCAGCTATTGTGATGGAGCACACGTAGGTTGAAATCTGACTTGGCTCCGGTTGCTGAGAAAGAAGGGCAGTGCCTTCTGGTTGAATTTTAGGGGGAACTACCAATCATTTGTGTATAGTATGAGTGGAAAGGCCAACGGCCGTAACATGCTGAATATACCGGTTCTCGTTAGATTCTTACCGAAGTGAAGCATCATTGGGCGCAGTCGGTACCCAGGTGGGTGACCACCTGGGGCCTGCGTGCCGTTGGCAAGAAATTTGGGACCTGAATGGCCGGTGTCCCCAGCGCTCTGGCGCTCGATTGCCACAGGTTTCGTGTTCGAATCCCGGCGGTGCCATGGATGTTTGTAGTGGTTCGAATCCACTTTAAGCCGTAGGTCCTGGTCTTCTATGACTGGGAGGTGTCACGGAGCAAAAGTCAGGCTTTCTACCTACGGGTGCTCCATCACAACAGAAGCTGCTTCCTTCCCTTCAATCATGAGTCCATATGGGCTCGTGGGCTTGGCCAGCCAAGTGGGATAAGAAACAACAACAAACATGAGTGGAAAGCCGGAATAAAGAAAACTCTTTCTATATTAATATTCGAGGTATTTATGATAGATGAATAATGATGAATAGAATTTGTTTAAAAATTATTTAGAATGAAGTATGATAGTGGGATGAGTTCAGTTGGTAACACTCATGGGATTTACTTCATATTTGCCAAATAGCTGTTTTATAAGAAAATACATAAATGAATATAAGCAAACATCCTTAACATGTCATGTAAAATGCAATCTGATTTGCACGATATAAAAAATAAGACAGAAGTAGATATGTATTGGCAAAACATATTTTTATTGCATTGTTTAATTAAAAAGCATGATGGGCAGCTGATAGACTTTCAAATTGGAACAATTATAGACAATAGCTACTTTTAGAGAGAAATTGCAACTTACGTTAGATAGATGCTACTACAGTGAAAAGTGCTTAAGATTGTAAATGGACGAAACGGCTACTGATGGATGTCAGGGAATTAGAGCACAGAAAGGAAAGATGGATAGTTCATACTAATGGCAATGATGGATGGCGGTAACATGTCAGCAGCGTTAGCATAACAATAGAAGGCGATGAACATGGAGTCACGCCTATCTGGACTGCTCACTGACAGTTGCTGGCCGCAGAGACAATTTATAATTTACTGTCCTTTGTTGCAAATTATTTGTAGTCCCATTATTGTTAGGCATTGTTGAGTACAGAAACAGTGCAATCTAAATGAGAGAAAGCTATCTTTTCCTCCATACAAATCTAAATTCAGTTGTGAATCCAAGATCAATCCACTAGTTTGCAGATAAAAGGAACACCTTCTTGAAAAATGCAAGGAAGAACATTTTGACATTGAAGATCAACAATTCATTTCCTGGTGTAGGCTTCTTTTATATTGTAACACATACACTTTTTAAAAATGACAGGTCCAATTTATGTTAAGAGATGAATTTTTGAAATCTTCATATTGCTCCTTATATATTTTGAAGGCGTTTCCGAAGTTAAAAATATTAATTTACGGTCCGAATCTCTAATATTATTCGAGTCTTTGCCTACAATAGTTATATGGAAAACTCCACGGTTCTCCGTTGAGCATAGTATGTAACAACACATGCAATGATAACTCGGTTCTCGACTTCGGAAGGTTCTCGGATATACTTAAAAAGGGCGAGAAAATAATCCATAACATGCCGTTGAAAGTCTACGTCGTTTGTCTGAGTGTGATCATTTATAAATGCTATAAACAGATTCATTTTTATTTTTGGTTTTCTATTTTGAATTGCTATAAATACCTCACCTTTACACTAAATTTGTGACTCAATCAATTTCTTTAATGCAATATATATATATATATATATATACATACATATATATAATACTGATATTTCAATTCTTCTAAACTCCATTAGCTAATGATTAGAAAAATGTACTTTGTTGTGAGAATGTATTTTGATCCAGAGAATATTGTTTTTCCTTCTCACTTAGCTGTTCAATAAAATAAATTGCAATGTGCAGCATGCAGAACTATATACTTTATATGAATTTGTTGTTGTTGTTGTTGTTTCTTATCCCATTGGCTGGCCAAGCCCACGAGCCCATACGTACACATGATTAAAGGGGAAGGACGCAGCTTCTGTTGTGATGGAGCACCCGTAGGTAGAAGCCTGACTTTTGCTCCGTGACGCTCTTACAGTCATAGGAGACCGGGACCTACGGCTTAAAGTGGATTCCGAACCACTACAAACATCCATGGCACCGCCGGGATTCGAACACGAAACCTGTGGCACCGAGCGCCAGAGCGCTAGACACTCGGCCATTCAGGTCCCAAATTTGCCAACGGCACGCAGTGTTCCCAGGTAAATTTGATTTTGTAACTATAGAGAAAGAAATTAACCACTAAGTAGCTAATAATATTAAAATTATTTGAACAAATTAAAGTTTGCTATGAGTTTTAAAAAATTTGAATTAATACTGTGTTCAAAAGTAAGACCAATTTTCAATTTAAAATTCCAGTGGCTTATGGAATTTCAATATTTTGTTTTTTTCTTTTTTAGGTTGCTGGCACTGTCCTTGACATCTGTGTAAAAACTAACGTCAATTAGTGTTTGAGTTACGCTTGGCTATGTGAGATGATAAAACTGATTCCGGCGATTTTTGAAAAGTCTCTTCAATCGAATCAAACCGATGTCCCAGGTGTAGTCTTTTGAGTTTAGGGAATAGCCAGTAGCAGCATGATGCTAAATCAGGTGAATACGGTGGTTGTCGAACGATGTAGGTTTCATTTTTTGCGAAATGCAATGTGAATCAATGCAATGTGAGTTGGCGCATTCAGTGCTTTCGGCACCAATCGAGATCAAAACATCTTGTACGTAACACGTAAAACACGTAATTTTCAAATTCCAACATCAGCAGCAATGTCTGCAATTGTAAATCGACGGTATGCAATCCCCAGTTCTTTAATATTTTGAACGCGAGCTTCGTCGGTTAAAGTTCTCCCGGAAAGAACTGTCTTTCTTCTTCAGCATCCCGGAGCCAAATCAGATTCCTACCTACAGGTCCTCTTTCACAATAGATGTTGCCCCCTTTTTCCTCCTTCCATGAGACCATACGATCTAGATGTTTGCTGTCTACCAAGTGGGATAAGAAACAGCACTGCTTTCAAAAACAAGGTTTTAGAGATTAATAGTTAGACTGGCTGGTGAGAAAGTTTCGGCACGGTAGGGGATTTACCTTTAAATTTTTTTTAGAAGGGAAAGTCCTCCTTTCACACACACATGAATGTGGCTAATCATGGTGTATACATAAGTGTAATTGGAAGCCTATTATAAACCAAACATTCTTTCTGTTGGTTTTTATAAGTATTAAGGTTTCAGAAACAAGAACTGTGTATAATCAATAATAAAGCATAATACAAATCAAATAAATAATTACAATTGATATATTTTCAAAAATTTTGTTTTAAGGTAATACAGCATGTTATAAAATCCCAATGATTTTTTTCCAAAAACATTTATTTCAGGATATATGATATAGTCAGGATATTTGTAAAATATAAATATAATTTATTCTTGTTTTATAATTGCATTTCAAAAAGTTTTTAACATTTTATTAGTAAGTTTCTTAGTTCCTCACTGCTTTCTGTTGCTATAGAAATAAATATTGAAAATTGCTTTAATTAATATAAACTGATTTGAAAATTATTACAAGCATATTAGAAAATTATTATAAACATATTGGAAAATTATAATAAACAGATTAGAAAATTATTATATATAAATTAGAAAATTATTATAAACAGATTAGAAAATTATTATATATAAATAAGAAAATTATTATAAACAGATTAGAAAATTATTATAAGCAGATTAGAGAATTAAATTACTAAATATACATGTAGTAATTCGTTTCAAATAGTAATTAATTTCTGTTAGTAGTTTAAATATATTACAATTGTAGACTACTTTACTCAGAAGCATGATTTTAAAATTGGAAGATATGATAGAAATTTAATAATAAAACCCCTATTTTCAATTCAATTTTAAAATAGAGTATACTTTATAGATTTAATAAATGTTTGAAAATATTAATAAGATATGCTAAGAAAACAAAGGAAATTTTATTCATCTTGTTGAAGATGATAAAACATTTAAAATAACAAAAGTGATTGTTATGTTGATGACAAACAGCCAATTAAAATTTTTAATGATAAGTTTTTAATAAACTTTATTGTCCCTAGTTGGAATAGTATACTAAAATAAATCAATAAAACTTATGAAGATGAATGAAAACCTATTCTATTTATTGATGCCAATTTGTGATTCGTTTGATCATGGCTTTGTTTAAAATATAATAGTGTTGACAAAGAGCACACTAATTTTGAGCAACTCAGCAGTCAAAACATTATGAACATTATGAATAACTAATATTGAATTTTTAAAATAACTGAAATCTAATAAATTATTCAATAATTTAACTACAGTAGTTTATTTTAATAAAACACGTTAAAATATACCTTATGCATATTTTATTTTGTATATTAATTACATAATTACAATTTTATTTCTGATAAATAATCACAGCTCAAACTGTTATCACCCACCAAATACTTAAAGATACCTAAAAGAGATACATAGAACGTCAAACTAAAACCACTATTCTCCAAAAGCTACAATTCTGAAACACCGCATTTCAAATTACATAAAAGTTCATACTTAATCCACCGCCATGCTAAACTGCATTCCAAAACCACAACATCCCATATTTACGCGAGATAAACGATTAGAATGGTGGCGGAAAAGGGTATCATTAGGTAAAGTATTTAAAATCGCCGCTCGATTCCTCTATATCTTCTCGCCTGAATTAATTTCGAATCCCCTTCTATCAAGGCTTTAATAGGAACCATTTTCCTGGTTCAAGTCCGAACTACGCTGCATCAGTTGATCCCTTAACTTCGGTGTCCAGGCGAAATTCGCCTTTTGTCCATTCTATGTTTCATGCCATAATAAAGCATGGATAGGCCGGTAGGTATCTCTGGGAGTTGAGCCGTAGGTATATTAGCTTTGATCTCAGGAAACTCGTAAGACTGCGAAATTAGTCCCTCCAGTTCCTGGCGTATGATTAATTACACTCTCTTGACAAATACCTATTCTCCTAATAAGCCTCCATACCAGTGTCCTACGTGTCCTAGAGTTATCCAGCGTCGAGGGTGT